ATCCTTTTGATACTTTTTGGGTTTTTCTGAGCTTCTCTGGAGAAACCAGAGGACAGCTGGGCCAGCACCTTGGAGCAGCAAATGCCAATATGGGCATGTGAGGAGGCATTTATGTACACCCAGGGTTGCTCTACTGCTGCAGGAGATTCGGGTTACAGCCCCTGGATGATCTTGAAGCCAATTATCCTCTTTTTATCCCCATGGGAGGGAAGGACCAGTTGAAGCAGCAGCTCCTCAGCAGCTGGCTTTCATCCTGCTGCAAAGGGAAGGAGTGCAGAGATGCTCTGCAGGGCTCAAGGGGTTGGCATTTAAAGGACTCAAAAAAGAATTAGAACCAGAGATCTCCTGGACCAGACTCACAGAGCAGAGCTTCCTTAGCTTTGTTTACCTCTCTTTGGGATCCATCCTTGAATACAACCACTCTCTCCAAGTTTCTAGATCAAACTTGGCTTCTCCAACAATACTGATTCCATGGAGGAGATACAGCCAGGTCTTACAAATCCTTCCTGTTTCACTGTTAGTGATTCATAACCACACCAGTAACTTATTTAAACCCCCAAATCTCAGGGATTTTATTGTGTTTTTTTCAGGCTAAACATGTATTTACATGTTTTGAAATCTGACCCAAGCAGGACCAGCTGCTCTTGTTACTTTAGGATGTAGACATTGGCATCACATTTTTGTCAAAGGACAAAGTTCTCTAATGGCTAGTCTGACCTAGAAAATGAGGGCATCAGCTGTACAGAGGCCCCTCTGTTTATCAGTTTGCAAGTGGCTCAGTTTTTCCTCCTCACAAACATACAGGGATCACAGAAACCAGAGAGCACAAGGGATGTTCAGTGGTTGGCAACTGCAGAGGCTCTGATGGAAACCTTATAGAAAAAAAAAGATCATCTTCTGTTTTTTCTGTAAGTACTGCTGGTCATGGTCTGCAGAGAAGACATTTTCTTGCCTATAAGCATTATATAGGGCCCAACATCAGCTGGATCCTGCTTTTCAGCCCTTATCAGCCTTGGAAAAGCCCCAAGGAAGTCAACAGCAAAATTTGATGGTACTTCAGGCAGGTGCAAATCAAAGGAGTGAAAAACTCATCTAATTAAAACTTAGTGTTTGTATAGAGAAAAGAGCTGTTTGCTCTGACAAAGCAGGAAGCAGAGAAGCACAGAAGTTTTGCAATTGAGCAGGGCTGGGTATCTGGGGGAGGATGAGGGTGATTTTCTCTGAAGGGAATGATCTGTACTTTGAGAATGCTCCTCTCTAGCATCTCCCAGGCAGCAGCCAGCCTGGCCTTACTGCAGAGCTTCCCCTTGCCCAAATGTCTTGTCGCCTCTCCCAGGTGATAATTAACATATTTGACATTTTTAGAAAAATTATTCACAATCTTCTGTTTAAAGGAGCAGAGAATGGACAGCAAGACAGTGTTTGGCTCAAACCCAGCACATATATTGAATGTAAAGCTTTTGGGCTGTTCATATGAGTGTTTCAGGTGCTGATTTTGGTAGGAAGGCTGTACCTGGAGGTGATCCCACAGCTCAAGCCCTGAGCACAAAGGGTGCTGCAGGAAAGGCTTATGGAGTTATTTAGCAGCTGGATAAGGACAGGAATAGCAGGTACTTGTTTTGTAATCCCTGCCAGGACAGCAGGACCTGCTCCCTGGGCAAAGCTTGGGAGCTGTGAGTTTAGGCCAGCCGAAGGGGACAGACATGGCAATTCACAATGTCTCCTTTGGGCTGCCCCAGGCACCTCATTCAGGTGCAGGTTACAAGAAAAAGAGGCCTCTGTGTCCCAAAAGGCACCCATCTTTGATACCCTGAGTTGGCTAGAGACAGACACGGCAAACATCCTTCCTTTCTGACACAGGTGGGTCATGTTCAGCGCTCTGCTGTACAGCCGGGCAGGGAAATCAGGCAGAGCAAGGTCGAACGGCTCACCTTGCAAATGCTTGCATGAATACTTAATCTCTCTCCTGTGAGCAGTCTCACCAGCTTCAATACAGCTGTAGATATTTAATCAAGAAGAGAAAAGATCATTAACCCACTGCCTGCCTCCAAGGGGACTTGGGGGTGGGAAGCGGCGAGCACAGTCCCCCACCTGCCGCAGCCTCCTGCAGCACAGCTCCAGCACCAACCTGCACATCACCACCACAATGCTTTTAGTTACACAAAGCCCTGGCAGAGCCCAATCTTTCTGCTTTTCACACACAGAAGGTTGCAATCACATTTCCTGGCAAACCACTCCTATTCTCCCAAGCCCCAGACACAGCAGTTAATGTTCTCCAGTTCAATAAACCATCAATTCTACCACCACAAAGGGAAGAACTCTAAAAAAATCCCTTGAAACAACCTCACACAATAAAAAGCAAAAATCCCCAAGAATCCCTTTCCCTGTCAGGCTCACCCCCTGCAACATGGGTGAATTTCCAGGCTCTGCAGAGATGCCACATCTTCCACCCAGGGAAAAACCCCACAGGTGCTCCAACCTGAGGCCACTGCAGATTGGGCAACCCTAAGTCCATCCCCACCTCCAGTTTCCTCCAATCTGGGCCAGCTGCTGAGGGATTTAAGAACCCCTCCTTTTCTTCCTCATCACCATCAGTGAATGAGAGCAGACACTTGTACAGCTTTGAGAGGTTCTGCCCCAAACCAGCCATTGCTTCTGAAAGCAGCAGGTGACCTCTTTAAGGACACCCACCTGTACTGCCCCTTCAAGACACAGAGGTGCCCCAGGGTTGAGCTTCCAAAAAAATCACTAAGAATGGAATTTTTGCCCTAGTTAGAGCTGAGGAAAAGTTAGAGCTAAGTCAAGCTGCTCGAGTTCATCATATCATGGAAACACAAGCCCTGCTGAATCATCCACTGGTTTTATCTTCTTGGGGCAGGCGACAAAGTTATACAGAAAACGTTGTTTACAGACATCTCTGTTTGGAAACAAATGCATATGTTACCACACTAAATTGTCTCAGCTAAAGGAGATGGAAATTAGATCGTTTAAAAGCAGAGAGCTCTCCCATATTGTTTCATTAGAATTGTCTCTTTTACATAGCCAGGCAAGGGGCTCATTTTTGGGGAAAACAAACACATCTTTTACGATTATGGCCATTCAAAGCTGTTTCTTGCACTCTGAATTGTCACACATGAAGGATCAATGGCGTTCTCAGATGATGGTTTAATTAAAAACTTCTCCTTTCTCCAAGTTGAGATCTGCAAAACCTCTCTGAATGGCTGATGGATGATTTGCTATTACCTTGTCTAACTTTCTTTTTAATATTTTTTTCCAGGATTTTAATTGTTGCCATTTGAGGATTATTGATTAGCTGTAATTGCTCTTTTTCTCAGGCATCTCCCTAGTTATCTGCAGCTAAATGATCTCTAGAAAAGACAAAAGCAAGAGTGCTTCAGGACTTAATGTATTTCCTTGGCTGTTAATGAACAATGATAGGTTGATACCTGGACACTGAAGTGGCTTGAACTTTGAAAGTGGGTGAGCTTGAAAATTCCTTTTCCTTAAGAAAAGACGCTAAAAGAACCAAAAAAACCTTTTTATACACCAGTCACATTAAACAGAAACTAGACCAATGAAGTCTTTACAGCATGGGACACTCCTGAGTGCAAAATAAAATCCCCTTCTGCCTTCCAGAGCAGGCAGTCACTTCACACTGATTGCCATGGCTCACAGGCATAGAGGGATGCCACCAGAGCCAGAGGAACTGGGCCAAAGAGGATTTTATCTTTTTAAACTCCTAATTTTTTCTGCTTGGACCAGCCCACTAGACAAAGAGGTTTGCTCAATTTATCAGTGCTCAGCTCACCAACTGCTGAGGGCTCGGACTTGGTTCTGGATTTTGCAGGAGCTGAAGACACACAGTTGTTTCCCACCTCTTTGCCTTATTTACAATCCAAATTCCATGGAAATATTTAAAACATGCAGCAGAATCACCCAGCACAAAGCTAATTTTTCTCCTTATGTCTTTTACTTTGCATTTCAGGTACATTTAAAAGCTCACATATTTCAAAATACAGGGTCAAAAATGACATTACACAGGGAGCATCAAGCACAACAAGCATGAAGCTGCCCTTTGCTGCAGGTTTAAGGTAATGCCTTCAGTTTAGTCTGGGAATTATGATCTCAGACTACAGCAAATGATTCTGTTAGTTGATCATGGTGCACCTTGGTATAAAGATAGCATGATAAAACAAAAAAAACCCACACCCTGCATCATTAATTTCAGAGCAATTGTTTTTAGAAACTGATCATCAGCTAAGTTTGGGCTCATTACCAGATTTTGTCTAGAAATAAATTTTTGCTAGTGAGTGCCTGCCCACAAGATTTAAATAACAAAAAAAACATGACACATGGTGGTAGAAATTGGAGAATTTTTTTCCTTTAATCTTTTTTTCCCCAGTGTGCCCTAACACTGACCTGCAGCCCGGTGGGGAGGACACCACCACACTCAGCTCTGCCCTGGCCCCAGCACTGCAACCAGGCATCACAGTCCCATGGGAAATCCCCCTCATCCACAGACTGCACGAGCATCCCTCTGCCCTGGGAAAACTGGAGACAAGAAGCTGGAGCAGGCTGCAGAAGCTTTGCCATGGTTTGACACTGGCCCAGTGCCAGGCACCCAGGAAAGCCACTTGCTCACCCTCCCCTGCCACAGCTGGGCAGAGGAGAGGAAAAATAAATTAATGAAGGGTTCATGAGTTAAGGATCAGCAGAAAACACTTTGAGGGCAAAACAGGCTCAACTTAAGCTGCAAAGTGAAATATTTTACTGACAGAATCAGAGGAGGATGATGAGAAGTAAAATAAGGCCTTTAAAACGTTTTCTCCCTCCCAGCCCTTCTCTCCTTCCCACCAACAGCTCAGGGAGACAGGGCATGAGGGTTTTGGTCAGTTCATCACTGAGCTTTTCTTCCCCTGATCCAGGAGAGGAGTCCTTCCCCTGTGAGACCGTGGGGTCCCTCCCATGGGAGACAGCTCTCTGTGGATTTCTCCAGGTGGGTCCACTCTCATGGGCAGCAGCCAAACCACACCTGCTGCAAGGTGAGTCCCTGCCATGGCCACTGTCCTCCCAAAACTGCTGCAAGGTGAGTCCCTGCCATGGCCAGACTGTCCTCCCAAAACTGCTGCAAGGTGAGTCCCTGCCATGGCCACTGTCCTCCCAAAACTGCTGCAAGGTGAGTCCCTGCCATGGCCAGACTGTCCTCCCCAAACTGCTGTGGCCTGGGTCTCTTCCCTCGGGGTGCATCCTCCAAGGCCAGGCTGCTCCAGCAGGGCCCTCTCCCTGCTCCGGGTCTCCCACTGGGTCCCATCCTCCTCCAGGCACCCACCTGCTCTGGCATGGGCACCTCCCCAGGGGCTGTGGGTGGATCTCTGCATCCCCAGGGATCCCCATGGGCTGTGGGTGGATCTCTGCATCCCCATGGATCCCCATGGGCTGTGGGTGGATCTCTGCATCCCCTGTGGATCCCCAGGGGCTGTGGGTGGATCTCTGCATCCCCATGGATCTCCACGGGTTGTGGGTGGATCTCTGCATCCCCTGTGGATCTCCACAGGTTGTGGGTGGATCTCTGCATCCCCATGGATCCCCATGGGCTGCAGGGCACAGCTGCCTCACCATGGTCATCACCACAGGCTGTAGAGGAATCCCAGCTCTGGTGCTTGGGGCACTTCCTGCCCCTCCTTCTCCACTGACCTTGGTGTTTCCATGTTGTTTCCCTCACATGTTCTCACCTCCTCCTCTCCTCTGGCTAGAAGAAAAACTGTGTGCCCTTTGTTTTGATTTTCCTCTTAAACGTGTCACCACAGAGGTGTTACCAACCTCTCTCCTCGGCCCAGCCTTGGCCAGCAGCATGTCCATCCTCAGAGCCATCAGGGACTGGCTCTGCTGGATGTGGTGAAAACTTCCAGCAGCTTCTCACAGAGGCCACCTCTGTGGCCCCCCAGCTCCCAAAAACCAGGCTGTGCACAACCAATACAGCCCTGCACCCTGCAATGGGCTCACAGATCCAGCAAAGCTTCCCGTGGCACAACCACGTGGCAGACTGCCTGTAAAGGATATTGCTGGAAATGCAAATGAAAGTGTAGCAGGCAGCAGGGAGACATATGAAGGGAATCTTGGATGTCTAATCCGGTTGGAAAAGACAGCTTGGGTAGGCAGCTAATTGGGAGCCATGGGAAAAGCTTTCCCAGCTGCAGGCAGCAAGCAGCTCAGGGAGAAAGGAGCTGCAGGTTTTCTGCACGAAAAAGCTGACTGTTAAATTGAGTATAGTACTGATGGTAAATGCATTTCATCACCAAATTATACATCTATAAAAAAGTACAACAGAGAGAAAGAAAAAGAAAGTATGTGTCAAGCTTTCTGGGCCTTTTTTCACTTTTCTAGGGAGAATTTTCTTCCAATACATTGGCAGATACAGCACAGGTGGGAATGTTTTCACCTAAATAATGGCCAGTAGGCTGAAGCAATTAGTTTTCTTTTTATTTTTTTTTTCAATAAAAAAGAAATTAAATACTGAGACTTATTTTGTAAAAATGGTGGCCAGGACAATGGTTTTATTTTGTAACAATGTGATTTTTTTTTTTTTAAATACACATGAAAACAATTCTTACAGCTCTACATCCTGAAAAAGAGTTGTTTATTCTGTAGAAGAAGATAAAGATTAACCATTAAAGATTAACCAATTGCTGGGGTGACCATCATTATTAAAACTCTGCTCTGCAGACAGCAGCAGGCACTCTAATGGCACGTGCTGGCAACTTCAGCTGCCTTTACTCTTGAGTGCTTCAGTCCCACAAACCGACATCAAAACCAGGGAAAAAAGATCATGACAGGAATGAAGAGGTTCTTCTGGGTACAGAAGTCAACTTAAAAAGCTGGACCCTCCAGTCAGTGTGAGTCATGCATTTAACAACTGTAGTGACTTAAAGAATTAAGTGGGGACAGATCCCACTTATTTTCACAATAAAGCAACATTTGGAAAGTTTAAACAGAGCAAAATGTGGCACAGAAATGGAGGGCCAAAGAGAAGGGTTGGAAGGAAACAACAGAGGATTTCACAGTGGACTCCTTCTCGAAGGCTCACTGTAAATATTATCCCTGTCCAGTTGGGGGAAGTTTCTTGCTGTGCTTTGGCAAATCATCTTTTTTACTTGTTATCATCAAAATATGTTTCAAAAGATTTTTTTTTTCATGGGATTCCAACTCAAAAGTTTGGCTTGAACCCTGCTTCTTTGGAAGGCAATCAGTTTTTCTTTTTTCCTTCAGTCAGGCCGCTGTAGGGCTGACAGGGAAGGGACAGACTGTGAGCAGGGGTATTGTGCACACCTGTCTATTGACAGCAGTGATGATAAAAGTCACTCCTGGCTCTCCCATTAGGGACTTAGGGAAACTTGGGATGGTCCCACAAGCAGGGACAGGGAGGGTCTCCTCCACATTATCTC